AGCACGGACGCGACTTTCTCTCTCTTTTTTTTATTGACAAGGGGAAGGGAAGCCAGGCAACCCCGAAAGCAAAAATAGCCTTGCCCTGGCCGACTCCACCACTGTCTAAACACTTGTCTCTGACCCGCTCTCAGGGTGGGTAACAGAGAGCGTCCAGCAGCTCCCCTTTAAAAGAGAAGCGGGAAATCCACCCCACCCCCATTATCTCCCTCTCTCTCTCTCCCCCTCCTCCTCTCTGTCTGGAATTTTCAACTCAGGACTAACTCGTCTGATTTCTCCAGCCTCCTCCTGCTGCTTTTTTCCTTTCCTTTTCTCTTCTCAACTCGCCCATCCCAAAATCTAAGCTGCACTTTCTGGAAGACATTAGCCACATTTTAAGAATCTTTTTTAAGAGAATGGGGAGCGAACACGACTGAATTTAAATTCTAACAGCTGGAAAAAAATGTCTATTCTTCCAATGCCTTTGGTTCATACATTTATTCTAAGGACACCATCACCACCACTACCACTCCACACAGAGAAATCAACAAATCTAACCAATAAGTAACTCTTCAACACAAAATCTTTAAACAAATAGTACTCGCTGTTCTCCCTCTTTCCACTCAACTAAACCAGATCTGAATTTTAAAATATTCTTAAATTGTATAGTTACTAGCTTGTCTCAATAGTATCTTTGTCAACAGGCTGTTACCCATTAAGGTACAGAATAAATAAACTCTTAAAAAATAAGCCTTAAAAGTACCCACACACATAGAGTCAAATGACATATATTAAGGTAATTTTAAAAGATTAGAAGCTCAGAACCTTTGAATCAAGATTCTTCCAACTGCTAATGTCATGTATTTCATCTCTGAAACATAATTATAAGAAAGAATGTTTTGTTTTTTCCACCAAATCTGTGCCATTAAAAGTTTACATTTGGAACAGTTAACTATACTTTAAATAAATTAGTGATGGGAATTGCAGTTCTTTTCCCTTCTTTACTAAAAAGTTCTCTATCTGAGAAACTATTAGGGTAAAATTTCATTTCTCTTAATTTGTGGCCAAAAAAATAAGGGGTTCTGAAAACCTACAACTCTTCCAAGGAACAGTCAAGTACTACTATTCTTAGTTATATCTCATCTTGATCAAATGATCACCCAAATTTTAACAGGTAAGGACTTCTCTAAGCAGTGAAGAAAACTTGATTTATAAATTTGTCAAGTTTTCATGTCTAGGTGGAAATTAAAATGAAAAGAATATGCCCCAATTTCTACCTTTTCTCTGAACAGTTCAGAAAAACTAAGATTCAACCATTTTTCACTTAATGTAAAGGAAAAAAAAATATTTTTTTTCTTTTTTTTATTGAACGGTAACTATGTACATTAATGCACTTCTGGGGTACAGTGTGGGGTTTTCACATGCAATCTGAAATACTTCCATCAACTGGTCAACACAGCCTTCATGTCATTTTCTCAGTTATTGCTTTAAAACATTCACATTCTACTCTTAGAAAGATTCACCTGTACCCCTAGAAAAAAAAATATTTTTACCCCAACACTAAGATATTAATGAGAAAACATTTTTCCTAAAAGGTTCATAAATTGTTTCTACTTTAAGCTTACTTGTTGAAGACTGGTCACATGTATCTTCCACCTCATGTGAGTTATAAACTTTCTTTTTGATTTGGATACTAATCCATAATTATGAGCCCTTAAAGTAAACGTGCCTGAAAAATCCTCCCACTCCAGTTTTTCCTTCCCTTGTTTTTTATTTTTAACTCCCCTTCATTTTCAGCCCTAAAATATGAGGGTTTTCTTCCCCTCACTAAATGTAAACCCATTTCTGAAAGCAAAATTTTTAGCTTGTTTTAAAAACATTTAGTGATCCAATTATTTCTTCACAACCTCCACAAACGATTTCTTCAAATAAAATTTAAAATATTTGTGGCCATTTACAAGACATCCCCTTCACCAGCTTCTAAAGCTTCTACGTTCAGAAAATTAAATGAATTGAAATCAAGTTGGAACACTTTTTGAGAGTTCTCACACTTATACAAATGGTTGTGAGACTGATTTCTGTTTAATAGCTGGAGAGTTAAGGGACAGTGTTAGCCCACATCATTTTACGTCAACTTACAAGGAAAGAATCACCATGAACCTGCCTAAAGAAATCACCAAACTTAAATACATTTTGCCTAGAGAAGCTAATGCAGTGCATCTCCTTCATTTTTTAATTTAACAGCAATATTCCATTTTTGATGACAATTGGCAAATACATTCCCCTAGAAAAAGGCACACCACAGTGGCAAGTGTTAACAAAAATTTAATTCCCTTAAAAAGCAAACGTTTACCTGAGTAAACAGCTCACACCTTTGCCTCAACTACTGTTAAGCCTCTCAGAAGGAAAACATATATAAACCCTTTCCACATCTGTTTTTAAAAAGTCTTTTGGTTGTTCTCCTTTGTTCCAATTATCTAACAGTGAATATATACAAATTCTCAACAAAAAGCCCAAGTGTTAAGTCAAATCCCAATACTGACTTGGAGTCTAGAAGTGGATCTCAGAGAAATGTTGTGTTGTGCATTTTAAAAATTCAAACTAATTGCTGTTTTCAGTTTGAATGTTTAGTTTCCAGGCTCTTGAGTTCTTAAAAAGGTACAAATCATATTTATCAAACAGATTATTCAAAAGGAGAACAAAATATATTAACACTTCAAAAATCAGAGGTGACTATTAAAACATGTTTTTTGTTTGAGTTCCCCCTTTAAAAAAAAAATTGAAGTTGTTGGGTTTTCATGAATCATAATTCATCTGGAGGTGAGTGCATCCAGAATTCTCTCTGTTCAGCAGTGAAAACGTTATATACAGAGTATGTACATAGACACAATATATACAGTTGTTCATTTTGCTTAGAATGGTAGTCATAACCAACTAGTTCCTGTTTTATACATCCATGAGATTGAAAAAGTCATTAACAAACCTAACTGAAGAAAAAAAAAACTTTTCAGACACAAGCTAAAGACACATACCACAACATGCTTCCTCAAAGAACACAAAATGATAGAGCAAACTGACTTAATGCAAACAAACTTTTTTAAATCCTGAGACTTCAAAAACTGATTCATTCTAGAAAAATGAAGTGCCTTCTCATCATCACCCAAAATAAAAAGGAAAGAAAACAAAATTGACTCAATGTTTAGACCAAAACATTACTTCAGGAAGGGGTAGAAAACACAAAAGATCTAATTTAATATGGGTGTGGACAGGGAGATTTTTTTTAACCAGCCATCTCACAAAAACCCCCTCCCCATTCCAACTCCAAAAAGAGCCTCAGCAGTGCATTTTGGAGGGAACAAGAATGAGCCTAGAAAAGGCTTAAAAGCAAGCAGATGGCTTGGGGGGAAAAGATCCATAAATACGGGGGACCATGAAATTAAAATATAAATGTTTTGAGTTCCATTTCATCACATTTTGCTATTTCTCTTACATTTCACTTCATTCCCTTTAAAATTTAAACCATCCTCAAGAGCACAAGAAAAAAAGTCCACATATTTCAGAATGCCAGTTATTCTGGATACTTTTCATCAACATTCAGCTTTCAATTCAAATATCATCTACTCAATACTGCTGTCAGTGTATTTTTCTCTTATCCTCATCTCCAGGAAATGTTTCAAAATAATAAATAAGCTTCTTCTTTTGGATTTTATTGCCTCTTTATTCCTAACTCTAATTGTCTTTCCAATAACAGTATTTCAAGCATTTAAGGTTAAATCACAAGCTCTGTAACTGTAGTAACAAGCCATATTGATTATCTATCGATACAATAGTCTCAAGTTACTTAAATATCTCAAACTGAAGGACTGGACAGAATTCATCTTCCATTCAATTTCCTAGATCCTTTTAAGTGCCCTCCCCAAAGTCACCCACCCTCCACCTTCCCACCCAAGGAAGGCCACAGACTATTCTGAAAGGCAGCATGTTTCCAGCTGAAATGGGGGATAGGAGAGGTCAAAGATTTGCTGGGGGGGGGGGCTGCTTTCCAACTAGCACCATGAGTGCAAACTCTGCACTGTCAACATGTTTAAAGTCTTATTTGAGAACGTAGAAAAGACTCTGCCCTTAAACTTCCCAGCCAGAGTGCTAAGAAAGATTTCAGAATTCAATGAATGATTTGAAATCCACTGTGAATTTTCAGGAAGCATGATGAAGGTACCCCATTTTTTGCTGAAAGAGCATAGAGGGTATTGGAATGAACACACACACACACACCATTCATCCACGGAGTTCTAGATCCTCCAAAGAGCCCCAGCTCACAGCCTGAACACAAAGATCTCACCCCAGATGGTCCCCTTCTAACAATGGCCTGAAGGAGTGGGGGTAGGGGGCTCAAAAAGGATAGTACAGCTAAGGAATATTCTTTGGAAAATCCAGTTGGGGCAGGGTTGAAGGAAGGGTGGTGATGTGAGATGTGAGGGACTGGGGGTCTGTGGAGAAAAAAGTCTTTGCCTGTTGCAGAAATTTAAGTAAAGCACAAACAGGGTATTCGAGGGGGCAGGAAACTCCACTTCCTCCAGGGAGTAGAAAGAGGATTCCCCCAATCCATTTAAGAATTATGGTGTAAAAAGGGTGGGAAAAACAGAGAAATTGAGGCCTGCTGGAAAGTTGCAGAAATCGCCATGAGTCTGAACTCTTCTGAAGATTTTAAGCTTCCCCACAAAAAACGGCCCCACACCTTGTACAAAATCAACAAGATTTCTCCCCTATTGATCCCCCCTCCCGGTTATTTCTACAAGTAACATCTTTTGGCCCACCCTGGCCCCAACTTTTTTTTTTTTTTTTTTTTAACAAGCTGTAAACCACCCATTACAAGATCTTGGCCAATCTTCCCTCCCTGCCCCCAACATCCGGAGTTGGGGGTGGGAAGGCCAGTAATGGGTTTCTTCCACTGGAGACGCTATGGACCCCTGAACACAGCCTCTCAACCCACCCCCACCCCCCAGAGAAGAGCTCTTTCCTACCTTTGTTTTTTGGGGACCGAATGTTCAATCTCTAGGCGTTTTCCTTGTAATTCTACTTTTCCTAAAGATTAAAAAGAAAAAAATTAATGAGAGCGTGAAAAAGGGCCGAGTGGGAAGGGTCTGAGGACAGTAGCGTAATTCAAGAGTTACTGAGATTCGTGATCTTACTGAGAATCCAGGCAGTGGCTTCCACCGCTGGACGGGAAAAGGTTGCTCTAGGAATAGTGGAATCTATAAATTCGTTGTTTTGTTAATTTTTGTTTTGTTTTATCACTGAGGCTTGTTGAGAGGATCGTCCTGGAAGCCCAATTTGAGAAAGGCGCGAGATCATTTGTGTGAGCGCGCTGCCTGTCCGGCTCCCAGATGTGTGCAGAAGGAGCTAGAAGGAACGGCTCCCCATTTCTCAGAAAGTGGGGGGTGGGGGCGGTGTGCAGAATGAAACTTTATTTTTCTCTTGGGCCAAGAAGGAGGGCTTCAGGCCGTGGGGCGGTCACCTGTCGGGGCTAGCTGTGAAGTAGAGGACCTGGGGGAGCCGAGCGGGGCCCGGCGGGGAGAGTCCCTCGCGGCTGCCGCGCGCGCCTCTCGGCCCAGCCTGGGCGTCTCGGGAAGCAGCATGGCGACCCGGCGCCGCCGCCGCCGCGCCACCCCGCTCACGCCCCACTTTCAAATCAAAATGGCTCAAGCCCCAGGCCCTGGGCGGAAGGCGGGACCCCCTTCCTCCCCAGTCCTGCGGAGTGCTGCAGTCCCAATGGAAAGAAAGCCGGGAGACCCGACGCGGTGCGGAGATCCCCTTCAACGTTTGGAAAGGCCTAAGACTGAGGAGGGGACCTGGGGGCGTACAAGCTGGGGGACCGTCCAGCAGCGGATAAGGAGGGGCTGGATGTGGAATTAACGTCCAGCCAAGGGTCGTCTCTGCCACCCCCCCCACTACTGCCAAAGGGGGCTCCCGCGCCGTCGGTAGGGAGGGGGGTAAAAGGAACCCAGAGCTGCTTTCGGTCTGGGAGGCGGCGGTGAGGAAATCCCGAGTATTTCTGCGCGCAGGGGTCGGGGTGTGCTGTGCTAGGGTGGGGGGCGTCGAAGGTAGGTCGAGGGTCAGCACTGAAGCCAAGGCCCGAGGGACAGAGGAGTTGGCGGGCCATAAAAGAGGAGGTGCAGGTCTCCGTTGTTCAGGGATTTCGTTGTGGATTTTTTCGGGGAGGTGGCTGTGCTCTTACCGGAGAAAGTTTCGATGGCCTTCATCGCCCAGTGCTCGTCGGGGCAGTCCACGAAGGCGTAACCGGATTTGACCAAGAACTGGCCGCTGTAGGATATCTTGTGCTCCGCAAATACTTTCTCCAAGTCCGCGGGGGTCACGCTCTCGTTTAGGTTGCCGATATAAAGCTTGTTCATGGTGGCGGTCTCAGGGCAGGACGCGGTCCCGGACAAGGCCAAACGAGCGTGCGCAGGCGGCGAGCCTCCTAGGCCTAGAGGCGGGGAGGCCGGCGGCAAGAGCCGCAAACTTTCTTTGCACCCCACCCCTGAAGTTGTCCGGAGCCCTGGGCTGGGAAGGCGGCCTGAGGGCGCGCAGAGGTCGCGGGAGAGTTAGAGAAGTGCCCGCGGCGCGCAGGGAGGCGGACTACGCGACTCTGCTCCTTCCCTTCTGTCCGAAACCCCTCGGAGCAGGCTGGTGTGTCACGTTTCTCCGCGGCCGCCCTGGAGCCGCCTCTAAATAAAATCGACTTGAAAAAAAATGGAGCGGAAAAAAAAAAAAAAGGCAAAGCCACGTGGTGACAGCCCCCACCCACCCTGCAGGGGAAGACCCCCGACGCCAAAGGGCCCCTCGGCCCTCAGGCCAAATCCAACAATCTCCCGCCTGGGGGTGGGGAACTCAACTCACCCCTGGGGTAAACTGGGCCAGTGGGGGCAGTGTCTCCGAAGCTCTACTCGCCCCCTCCCCTTTGCAAGAACCTGGCCCCTAGGGAAGCGCCCCGCCCCCACCCATCCTCCTACCCAGGCCAGAACTGGGGGAGGGTGGTGGAGCCCAGAATCTCTTGTCTTTAAGAGTAAAATGTGCGGTTATTTTTTAATTCGTCGGGGGGGGGGGCGGGGTTACCCACCCCACCTCGGTTAACTGCTAGCGACTGACAGGCGGGGAACGGCCAAGACAGACAAAGAGAAGCCGAGGACTCTGGGGTCTTCAGGAGGGGGTCGCATGAGCTGGTGATTTAAAAAGAAAGGCGCCTTTCCCCTAGATTTTTTAATGAGAGGGGTCTCTGCCTTCCCTACCGCAACTCCACATGACTCCTCTGCCTCAGGGGGTCCAGGACCCGAGAACACTATGAACGCGGGACCGGGAAGCTGGACACCGGGGGATCGCGGTTAGGAACGAGGGAGCCGCAGGAAATCGTGTTTCAGGATCCCCCTTGGAGAAAGGGTGGCTCTCCCGGAGTTCGGCTGTTAAATGATAACCTTTCAGGGTCTTGGGAGAAGGCGCGGTTCTGGCCGGAGATGACCCCAAGAGAGAGGGAGGGTGGGAGAGAAGGACGCAGGGTGGTAGCTTGGACTAAAGCGAGAGGACCAAAGGGGGAGGTCTCAGGGAGGGAGTGACCGGGTGGAGATCCCAATTCTCCCCTTTTCCCTTCCTGACTAGGGGGCGGACAGGTGGAGGCCAATGCGCCTGCTCCATTCGGGACTCCGACTGCGGCTTTCCTAGAACTGGGTTCGGATCTCCGAACTTTGTTTAGGGTGCGGGGTTCGGATCCTAGTGGGAAGGCGGGCGGGGGGCGGGGGCGGGGGCCGGAGCACGAAGCCCCGCCCACGTCCCCAGGTCAGACCCGCGGGGGGAGGGGGTAATTTCCGCTCCAAGGACTGGGAAACTAGGGGCTGGAGCTTAGAGTAGGGGGCGACGGCCCCTCCCCCGTCCGTTCCTGGGGAGGTGGAAGTGGATCCGCCCTGGTCCCTTCCCTCGGCTTTGACCAACTCGTTCCGGATCCTCCAGCTCCTGGAGCCGGAGGGAAGGACCCGACTGGGCAAGGGGCGACACGTGGGCGGTCGCACCCCGTCTTGGCGGTGGGGGAGGGGGCGGCGGCTCGCCGCGCATTTAGGAGTCCCGGATACGCGGCGGAGAGCGGGACGCGCGCTCCACGCGCAAGCCCTGGATCGCAGCAGCAGGACGAGCGAGGCCAACGAGTTTCTAGCGGCTGGGGCTGGGATGGCCCCAGGGGGGAGCAGAGAGCGCGGCTGGGGGACCCCGGAACCCCTCTTGCCCAGGGAACGGAAAAAGTGGGGGTCGACCCCCAGAAATTCTGGAGTCTCCCTTAACTAGGTGGAAATTGGGGTCTTACTCGGGGTTCGGAGGGAGGGAGGAAAATTCTGTCCTGGCACCGGTGCTGCAAGGGTAGGTGAGGAAGGGGGTCACTCTCCCCTTCCCCAGTCCCCGACCCCATTGTCTCAGTCGCCGGCTGCCCGGGCCGACTCCGCAACACGTGTTGACTACACCAATATGAATGCTTTGAATTTTTTTATTGTTATTATTTTTCGTTTGCTGAGCAGTGAGCTGACTCCGACTTCAGCTCACCGCTTTTCTGCCGAATGATTTTACACCATTCAAAAGTCGGGAGTTAAAAGACAACATGCAGCACCTTTGTCCCCCTCCCCATTTTCCCGGCGCGCTGAAAAGAAATGGGGCTGGGATGTGGGGGTGGGGGAGGGCTTTCAAATCGGTTTCTCTATCTCTTCCACCACCTTAGAGCCCACCCTCCCAAATCAGCATTTTGTTCTATCCAGCCACGTGTTTGTCGGATTTTTATTTTTGTGGTATTTTTCTTCCTGTGGAACAACAGGAATTAAAATACTATAAGCTATTACTTGGAGATTAGAAAAAGAATGTTTTCTTTCCAAGGTGGGAGACATCTGTGTATCTGTGTCTCACCCCACATCTCCGATCCCCCTCCCCATCTGACCCTTAATATTTAGTCAGCTCTTGATCACAAACATAATTTAAAAACAAACCAATCCAGTGAGCTGTAAACGGTGCTTGCCACATAGTAGGCTCTCAGTAGACATTTTTTAAATGAAAAGCAAGCTTAGCACAATCTGCAGAGAAAAGAGAATTCAGGAAAATTAGAGTCCAGAAAAAAAAACAAATTATCTTGGCCAGAATGTGTGGGTCTGTTGCCCGGGAACTTTTCTTGGTGATGTGTGTGGACTTTTGAAAGGACCAAAAGATGGTCTCAAAAAGCCTGTTGTATTTCTTGGCCTTTTCCTAAATAGGAGTCCCAAACTCCTTAAATCTGTTCTGTTATATTGGGGAAAAAGGATGAGGGCAAGTAGGCAGAGCATCCCAGTTCCCAGAAACTTTAAGTATTGTTTTCTTCACTTAATTTGAATCTTTAGGTACTAATAAAAGCACTTCTCAGATTTTTCTCCTTTTCCCAGGGGGGCATATCCACTACTCTTATCTCTTTATTCCCAAAACAAAAGCAAGTTACACCCCACAAAAATCTCAATCCAGACTTCTAAATTCCTGTAAAATGAAGCCCACCTTTTACTCTCCTAGATTCAAAGGAGAAAAAAAAAATTTTTTAATTACTTGAATTCAGTTCACATTTAGGCTGATTTTTTTTTCCCATGTAAAAATATAAGAGAAGCCTAAATGTTAGCTGAAATTAGCCAGTTTCTAACATGACAGAAGAGAAATCATAAATTTACTAGAACAGTCTACTATTTAAAAATCCTTGCAAGTTATTTAACTAAAAATGTATCAATCATTGCTAGATTGAAACTGGTTAATTTTTTTATTAGTTCTTTTTTTTTTAATCAGCTGTTTCACTGAATTCTAATCCTCTCCACACCCCCTCCCCCCCAAAAGGGCTTATGTGTGTATAATCAGAAGCTGCAAAGACTGCAAGAATACAAGAGAGAGAGGAGGCAACTGGGGTGAGATACAGATCTTTTTAGCCCCCAAATCAGTTTTGCCTCAATGACCTGGCTATTTTAGGCTGAGGTTTGGGGGACTAAATGATGTTGATTGATGCTTTAACTCTCCCCTCTGAGTGAGCTCAGCACTCAATTTAAGCTGAAAGAAGAGTTATTTCTTGTCAAGACTCACATTCCTAGGTTAAAGACACAAATGGGCAGACTAGGAGTACCATAATTTTTCATGTTCCTTTCCTTCTTTTAAGATTAAGGAAAACTAATAAACATCGTATTTACAGTTTTTTTCTACAACTGCTTCTTTGGGAAAGATGAATCTTCAGTGCAGAGTTACATTTGTGTAAGAGTTAAAAATACAGCTGCAGGATAAATTGTTCTTTTCCTGAAAAATAACAATAATTACCTTATATAACATATATATATATACTGTGGATCCTATATAATATAATAATAATTATTATTGTGCTTCTCTCTCTCTTGTTCTTTTCCTCCTCCTTCATTTTTCCTGGAGAGCTATTTGATCTAGTTATAGAATCACTTCCCCTCTGAATTCAGAAACACTGAAACTTGACTCTGTTTTAAAGATAGGATTCTGATCCATTTTCCTTTAGTTTCCTTTAGAACACAAATACATGTAGAGAAAAAAAAATTAAGAGGATAAAAAAAAATTTTCAAACATGGGAAGCAGAAGATTAAAAAATTCCACCAGTGGCATACAAAATTAATTTACCTTAAAATGTTTCTTTCCAGCATTTGTCCATTTAAAAGAGTTTTAAACTTTCTCATTTTTGTATCTTCATTTTTTACTCACTTTTGTACCATCATCATATTCCCATGCTGTCTCATTGTTTTCATAAATATCATTTTAATTCAGCCCTATTAATGTAATATAAATAATAAATTCTTATTTTTAGATATGTTGCATCAAATGTTTTACTTTATTTGGATTAACTCCTTTGGATAAATCCCCCAAATATATATTGCGTTTTAAATATAACATTTATCAGTGACTTTCCTGTTTGAAAAGTTTAGCAGGTTTTACAAAAGAAAGGACAAAAAAATAAATGGAAAGCAGTTAGAAAAATACACTAAAATAAAATGTGTGTTGTGTTTTATTTTCTAATGAGCTATAATCAATTTAGGAATAAAATTATGGTTGCTACACAACATAGAAATTTTCACATTTCCTGATATATGGTTAGTTACTTTGACTTCAAGGTTCTAAAGCTTTGGGAGAAGGGTGTTTGTTTGGTCTTTATTTTATTTATTTTGCTGTTGTTTTTGTTGCTTGCTTGCTTGTTTTTTTATTGTTACTGCCTTGGAATGTTTTGTTTCTTCCTGCAACTTGAAGTCTTAGTGTTCTTTTAAATGCCTATAAACTTTGAGAATGTGTAAATTAGTTCTAGTTTAAAAGGACATGCAGCTTTTTCTCCTGTCAAATAAATAAGGATAATTGTGTGCTTAGGGTATCTCATAAAATGTCAGAGAAATGGAAGCAGGAATGAAAATTTTCCTCCTCCAAATATCATTCATTTGAAAGTGTTCAGTGTTGAAAACCTTAAAAAGAAATGTATTTATTCCAGAGAGAGAAGGGACTCAAGAGGAAAAAAAAGAACAACTATTTGTTTTTCTGTGGGTCTCACAGTGTTTGACAAAACCTCTCAATTTTTTGTTTTGGCTCAGATTTGCAAGGTAGAAAGTCTTAGATAAGAAAGAATCATTTATTTTATTAACTTTAAAAGTGGATGTTTCCAAATTAATTTTGCT